CCACACCAGCACCCCCAGAGGGACCACCCCCAGGGCGACCGGGACGAGCACCCCCAGAGTCAGCGAACGGGGGCTGCGACGGCGGCAGCGGCGGCGGCGGCGACGACGACGGCTGCAGCAGCGGTAGTGGCGGTGGAGGAGGGGACTGGGGAGGGGACACCTGGGGAGGGGCGGCCGGCGAGGACTGCACAGGAGGGCCACCAGAGTCAGAAGACTCCTCAACCGGGTCCACGGACGGAAGGGGGGTGACGTGGGACACACCAGAGGGGGCGGGATGGGGAGGAGGAGGAGGAGGGGCAGGGACTACCGGGGAAGGGGTGACGAGGAACAGGGGGGGGGTAACCGGGGGACCACGGTGGGGAAAGCGGCGGTAGTAGGAGACGGACTCGTCAAAGGTGACGTCACGAGAGTGAAAGAAGCGGTGAGACGGTGGGTGGTAAAAGTGCCAGTCGGACGCGTCAAGGGGAAAACCGAGGAAGACGCAGGGAAGGGTGCGGGCAGTGAGCTTGTCCGTGCCGGAGGCACGGACGTGAGCAAGGCAGCCCCAGACGTGGAACGCAGACGCGTCACCAGGAGACCCAGTCCAAAGACGGGTCGGCGAAACCTGCGGCTGCTGAGGGTGCGGCCACAGGTTAAGCTGGTGAGACGCGTAGCGCACAGCGAACGGCCACAGAAAATGGGGTGCACCGGCATGGATCATGGAGGTGCGAGCGACCTCCATGACCAAACCGATGCGTCGCTCAGCGACCCCATTCTGCTGTGGGGAGTCCGATAGGGTGAACGTCTGGGTGATGCCCTCCGCACGACAAAAGCGACCAAGGACACCGGAGGCAAACTCGCCACCACGGTCTGAGTGAAGACGCAAGACAGGGAGACCGCGGTGGACACGCGCAGAGACAAGCCAGGGGATGAGAGCGCCAGGCACGTCGGCCTTGCGCTCCAGGGGAAAGACTGTGGTGTAACGAGTGAAGTCGTCGACAAGCACAAGGAAGTAGCGCTCTCGACGCGGCCCAGGGACGGGAGCGGGGCCCCAGACGTCCAGGTGCAGGGTCTGCAGCGGCGCGGCGGTAGGGGGAAACGAGGAGGAGTGAGGGGCACGGCGAAGCCGACCCTCGACACAAGGCGTGCAAGGTGGGGCGGGAGAGGAAGGAAACGCGCGGAGCGAACCTGGGAGACCAAGGACGAGACCGTGCTGGGACATGTGACGCAGACGCGGGAGCGCAGGGTGACCTAGGCGGTGGTGCCACAGGAGGGTCGGGTGAGTGAGGGAGCGACAGGAGCAGGCAGCAGCAACCTGGGTAGACGCAGCCACCTGAGGGGGCGCTCCAGCCGGGGGGGTCACGGTGTCCAGAGTGAACAGGCCGGACACCGGGTCCCGGGGGAACGTGGACAGGGGGGCACCAGTGGCGGCCTCGGTACAGACAGCATACCGCTCGTAGCCAGGGAACGTAGTGGTGACGCCAAGGTCCTGGAGGCAGCCGACACCAACTAGGTTCCTGGAGAACGAGGGGATATGCAGACCTGTAAGAGAACCCGAAGGAACCGCCGGACAGGGAAGGGTGGTGGAACTGCGGGCGACTACCGGACCGCCGGAGGGGTCAGCAAGAGAAACGGCAGCAGGAATAGGAAGCAGCGTCAGGGTGGTGGAGTCGCGGAAGAAACACCGAGAGGCGCCAGAGTCCAAGGTGAAGGAAAGCGAAGCCGAGGGGTCTGGCGACGGAACGACGGCGGAAGCACCAAGACTACACAAAGCAGGGGATCCTACGCCTGACGCAGCAGGGGAGGCTAAGCTAGGCACACCTACACTAGGCAACAGTGAGTAATAAGCGGGAAGCACACTAGAGTCATCAGCATACATCACATGCAGAGCGGAAACAATGGCATCCATGTCCATATCAAAAATCTGAATCTGACGACTAAGCAAACTGTGCCAGTCCGGGAGGTCTGGCGACGGGCCGAAGCGCTGACGAAAGAGGTCGTCCAGGCGACGAAAACAGCGGGGAGTGGAGTGACCGATCTTACCGCAAACGAAGCCGCGGCGAGGACCGGTCTGGATCTGGTACTGACAACGCCCGCCGCCAGAGCCACCACGCGGCACACCACCACGCGCCCGGCCACCGCCAGCGCCGAGCCACCCTGGCGGGAGGACACTCGTCTGCCGCGTCTGCGACGGCTGCTGCGGCTGCTGCGAAGGCTGCGACTGCTGCGGCTGCTGCGGCTGCTGCACCTGCAGGGGCGGCGACTCAGCTGAACTGGGCAGGGCCCCCTCGTCCACTCCAGCACCAGGCGACCCGACCCCACCACTACCCCCGCCCGCACCCCCGCCGCCTCCTCCGCCGCGCCCAGCCTTGGGGCGGCGGCCCTTCCCCGAACGGACCTGCGCTGCAGCAGCAGTCTCAGCCACTGCGGCAGAGCCGTCGGAGAAGGTGCACTGAGCAGGGGCACAACCCTGAAAGATAGGGACCGGCACGACACCGCTCGCCTGGGCGATGGAGCGGTGACGGGTCTCTATCACAGTCAGGGTGTCTACAAAGTCAGTGAGGGTGAGGTCTGCGGGGTGAACGCTAAGAAAGCGGTCGCGGGCGACAGCAAGGCGGTCAGGGAGGCGGGTGGCAAGCAGGTAGAGGGTAGAGGTAATGGGCGGCTGGTGGGCTCTAAGCTGGGCGTCAGTGCAGGCAGCGCGCCAGGTCTCATCTATCGAGCGCAGGTGGGCAGCGAGGTCAGAGACAGTGGGGAAAGATGCAAGGTCAGGAAAGAGCATCGGAAGGATCAGGCGACCCACCGAGGCAGCCGGAGGGGTGGAATAGCGCTTGATCACAGCATCTAAGTATGCCTGAGCAGTAGTGAGGGACCTAAAGCGAGGACGCTCGGATGGGGGAAGGGCGTTGCTAATGGCAAGCTGGGCAACAGCATCGCGAGAAAGCCAGACAGAGCGCGCACGGGCAGTGGCAGCAGTAGCCTCACGCTCAGTGGGTGTGGGGTCAGCGGGCAGAATAGCAGGGGGGTCTGGGCAGGGGAGCGTACCGTCAAGGTGTGCGGAAAGCGGTTCACCATCCTGCCGCTGGCCAGTGAGTTGACGGCGGAGGTCAGCAAGCCACGCCTCAAACTCTAGGGGCTGGCCTTCAGCGTCGAAGCGAAGCTCCGCCGCCATCAGGAACAGTCCAGTGCAGTGCAGGGCAGTGCAGTGCGGAGCAGTGCGGTGCAGTGCGGTGCAGTGCGGTACAGTGCGGTGCAGTGAGGTGCAGTGCGGTGCAGTGCGGTACAGTGCGGTGCAGTGCGGTATAGTGCGGTGTAGTGCGGTGCCAGGCAGTACAGTGTGATGCGGGGCGGCACGGAGCAGGGCGGGGTGGGGGGGAACCGTACCAGTGCGGAGGACGGGGCCGGGGCTGGCCCGACGGGGCCGGGCGGGCGCGACGGGGCCGGGCTGGTGCGACAGGGCCGGGACGGGGCGACGGGGCCGAGCGGGCGCGACGGGGCCGGGCTGGGGCGACGGGGCCGGGCGAGTGCGGCAGGGCCGGGCCGGTGCGACGGGGCCGGGCGAGCGGGACGGCGGCCGGGCGGGTGCGACGGGGCTGAGCGGCTGCGACGGGGCCGGGCAGGGTGCGACGGGGCCGGGCGGGTGCGACGGGGCCGGGCGGCTGCGACGGTGCCAGGCAAGGGCGACGGGGCCAGGCGGCTGCGACGGGGCCGGGCGGGCACGACGGGGCCGGGCGGGTGCGACGGCGCCGGGCGGGCGCGACGGGGCCGGGCGGCTGCGACGGCGCCGGGCGGGCGCGACGGAGCCGGGCGGCTGCGACGGGGTCGGGCAGGGTGCGACGCGGCCCAGGAGGGGCGCTACGGGGCCCAGGAGGGGCACGACGGGGGGGGCCCAGGAGAGGCGCTACAGGGGCCCAGGAGGGGCGCAACGGGGCCCAGGAGGGGCGCTACGAAGCCCAGGAGGGGCGCGACGGGGCCCAGGAGGGGCGAGACGGGGCCTGGGAGGGGTGCGACGGGGCCCAGGAGGGGCGCGACAGAGCCCAGGAGGGGCGCTACGGGGCCTGGGAGGAGCGCGACGGGGCCCAGGAGGGGCGCTAGGGGGCCTGGGAGGAGCGCGACGGGGCCTGGGAGGGGCGCGACGGGGCCTGGGAGGGGCGTTACAGGGCCCAGGAGGGGCGCTACGAAGCCCAGGAGGGGCGCGACGAGGCCCAGGAGGGGCGCTACGGGGCCCAGGAGGGGCGCGACGGGGCGCTACGGGGCCTGGGAGGACCGCGACGGGGCCCAGGAGGGGCGCTAGGTGGCCTGGGAGGTGCGCGACGGGGCCTGGGAGGGGCGCGACGGGACCTGGGAGGGGCGTTACAGGGCCCAGGAGGGGCGCTACGAAGCCCAGGAGGGGCGCGACGAGGCCCAGGAGGGGCGCTACGGGGTCCAGGAGGGGCGCGACGGGGCGCTACGGGGCCTGGGAGGAGCGCGACGGGGCCCAGGAGGGGCGCTAGGGGGCCTGGGAGGAGCGCGACGGGGCCTGGGAGGGGCGCGACGGGGCCTGAGAGGAGCGCGACGGGGCCTAGGAGGGGTGCTAGGGGGCATGAGCGGAAGCGGGAGGTGGGGGGGGGATCCTACCTACGCGTGATACCATATTAGAATTAGAATTGAATAATGGTAAAGTGAGAGTACACACAAATAAACCTAAGTGTTGTACCCTCTAAGAGGTAACCCTATACAGTCTATACAAACATAACAAATACAGATGTTTGACAAAAATGACTAGAATCAAGGGTGAATCATGGAGATGTAGGGTTGGAGTTGTACCTTCTAAGAACACACACCTATCTAGCCTATAACTTCTATATACAAATATATGTTGAAGTTGACAAGCCCCCATTCAGTAGCGGCTCACTTGAAGCCCCCCCTTAGCTATTTTAGCCTGTGGTTTGAAGGTTCTTGAAAATATCTTTCGCATTCTGCTGAAACAATATGCTATAAATGTTGGTCATTTTCTGCACGACCTTCTTACCTACTCATGCATCAATAATACAAAAATGACTTTTCTATATAAAATCCTTGGCAAAACCAAGGGTCATACCGGTCATGCTAGCTGCATTTGCAACTCCAATGTGGGTCAAGAGATCAACTCCAATAAATCAGCAGGACCATGGTATTCATGAATTATCATTCATGTCATGGTGAGCTTTAGTGAAATTAGCTACACTTGCGCATCAAGAGAAAGCAACAACCATTCCGAAGCTGGACTCGGTGGTTGCTGCAGAAAACTCCACTGTAGAAGCTTCCTCGGTATTGTTGGTCCTTTTGGCGAAACGACCCTGCAATAAGAGTAGAGGAAAAGGTAAAACAAGAGAGATAAGGATTGATTAGTCGACGAGCATAGTACGCGGATTCAGGATAGGAGTCTTGAAGGTTCACTCACTGGTATCCCAGGCAAAACGTGGAGAAAAGTGCTATCGAGCACGAAGAATCAGGGAATCAGACACATTAGCCGTACCTTTACTCTGGGTCGGCTCTCGGCATACGCCTTTCGCGACGCGTAACGAATGGTCTTCTCGAACTTGCGGTTCTTTCGCTTCTCGCGATATCGCATCACGCGAGCTTCGCGAGCCATCGCCACAATCGGGCTGTTGTTACCAGGCATCGAGCCCACCGCTCCGTGTGCAACTGCGTCGAACGGTAAAGCTATACTCCCGTCGTGCGGGTTAGGCCGACCCGGCACGTCTGGTACGACTCCATTATCGATGGCGGATGGTGACAACTGCGGGTGTGACAAACACGCAAGCAGGAAGAGAAAATAGCAACGTCAAGCGTGAGTAGAAACGCTTCGAATCACGCGTTTGAGGAACAATGACGTCATCGTCACGAAACAGGAAGCAGACCAGACGGGGGGAAGTAGGACAAACGCGAAGATCTGCGTTGACTCACACTTGCAGAGGTCCCCGGAGTCGCGTGCGGTAGCGCTCTTAGCGCGCGGTTCTCGAACGAAGACCCGTTAGAAACGGACGGCGAGCATTGACGCACGTCCGTCGAGTGAACCGGAACCATGCTATCCTTCGCGATCCTCGCGATCCCCCCCGCCGAACCGAAACCCGCGGCTCCCAAGCCTGCCGGATCTAGCCCTGCCGAACCTAAGCCAGCCCCGGCTGCTAGGCTCTGCAGTAGCTGCGCACTGGTCGGCAGACCCCCGGCCGCGGCAAGGTGAGCGTGGCCCAGACTGTGGTGGCTGTGACCGACGCTCTGATTGTGACCGTGAGCCGCCATAAACGTTTCGAGGTTCAAGAACGGATCGACGTCGAACAACATATCTGCTCCGGCTCCTGATGCTCCTGCCACCCCCTCCGCGGCCCCTCCTTTCATGAGCCGAGACTGCGGGAGCACACTCGTGGTGGCCGCGGCTGCGGCGGCGGCGGCGGCAGTGGCGGCGGTGGCGGCGGTGGCATTCGAGGGGACGGGAGTAGGGGGTTTCATCATAAGCGAAAGGGTGTTGGGGTGGGGGAAGAGCGAGGACGGGTTGAGACCGATAGGCGGGGGATAGATACCGATGTTGGAGAACGGGAGAGCTGCCAGCGGGTCGCTGGTGCTGCCGAGCCGACTAGCGGCGGCGGCGGCAGCGGCGGCGGCGGCGGCAGCGGGACTGATGGACTGGTTGAGCAACCAGCTCGCTGTATCCCCCGTTGTGACCTCTTCACAGTCTTCCTCGTTACCGTGATGGTGGCCATGTCCAAGATGAGCGTCGTTTCGCTCCGATAAATGTAGGCCAAGCCCTTTGAGCCCGTGTTCCCCGCTGGCGGCGTGCAGCAGATCGGATCCCGGGAGAACGATTCCGTTTACGGCGGATTGAATATGAGCGACTTTGACCATGGAGGGGCTTTCGTAGAAAGGGACGACGGGGATTCGGTCGTGGCGTTGCGCGAGCGGGTTCGCGTTGTGGATGTCGGCGTCGCACGTCGTGCAGAGCGCCGCGGCGTCCGCTTTGCAGGTCACCGCAGCGGGAGCCATTTCGCAGACTTCGCACACCCAGACTCGCTCGTGTCGCGAGGCGAGCTTGTTCGCGCCATGGATCTTGCCGTCGCAGGCGGCGCATAGATAGGCGGAATCTGCTCGGCAGTAGAGCAATGCCGTGACGCTTTGACAGGCATCACACGGCTTCGGCATGGCTGCCGATGCTCAAAGCTTCGGAAAAGTTTTTAGAAGGTAGCAGGTCTACTTCTGCAGGCCCTGAGAGGAGCCACACGTACGGGCGCTACGTACGGTGGAGGCGGGATACTGGTTGCTAGAGCTCGAGCAGGCTGGCAAGCGTATCTTTCTGGTGTGGAATGGCTTCCGTGTGTGGAGTGGAATTCTGAGGCTATGCAAGAAAGAGAGTCCAGGGGTTGCAGGAGGAAAGATGTGGCGTTCCTAACTTCAGGAATCGTAAGGCCAAGGATGGAGTGGACCAGAAAGCGATGTGGTTGTAAAAGGAAAGCTACTGAGTGGATGTTCGGTAAAAAGAGCGAGAGAGAGCCACAGAAACACTGAGAGTTGTGCTGGATAGAATGTGTGGTTGGCCAGAGAATCAAAAACTGCAAGGCGTGGCCCGAGAGGATCAGAAACTGAAAGCTGTTGGTGGAGAGGATCTCGAGGGCGTAAACTGACCACAGGAGTTGAGCCCACCTGCTAAAAGGACGCTTGTGACTGGATGTGCTGCGCAACTGACCGCACTTCAGTGGATGGGGTGCGCAACTTTCTGCTCTTCTCACTGGACGAGGAGCGCAACTGTCTGCGCTACTAGCCCACCCTCGTGTGTACCTGCCCGCGCTTATGACTGGTTCGTATGGTGCGCAACTGATCGCCTCCCTCCTCCTCCCCACCAAATTCCCCAAGGCACGTAAAAGGACGACTTTCCACCGCGTGTTTTGCGCCGCTGTCTCCATGCGGGATAGGATGTGTTGCGCTACGGAACAGTTTCCCCTCCGCACGGCCGCCTCCGCCCTCTAGCTGTGGCAAGCATTGTCCCGAGGCCTAGGGGTTTTGGGCGGGGAGCGGGGGAAAGGGGGGGAGGAGTGGAGGGTGGGGGGGAGAGGGCGGCAGGGGTGGGTGGGGGGGGGGGGGGTCTCACACACACCGTGGCACTTGCGGATTAGCTGGAACCAAATCCTGAAATGCAACGAGTTTTGTGCGGAGCTACGTGGAGCATTTAATGGACAGCGTTGGCGGGATGTAAAGCCCCCAATGTCCACGGGCAGTCATGAATGAAACAGTCCTTATGCATGACCAGTCCGAAGTTCCAACCAATGCAGCGCAACGGGCATGTGAGACTTTGCGGCGCCGAATCTCCCAGTTTCCAGGTTGATTTATGCATCAAGGTAATGCTACGAATTACATTTACGGGATTGATTTTGGTTCAACGTTTGGACGAGCCACACGCTCGGAATAAGAGTTGCATTTGACAACTTTCCAATATCACACCCAAGTCAGGGCTGATTCCCCACAGCTTCCCAAATACCCGACACCAGAAAGCTGACCCCTAGTTGTTGGAGAGTTTTCGTGACAGTTTCGAAAGTCTAAAACGTCATAAACCTCTCGAAATTGGGGGAGCTTACAGTGGAGCATGAGTGATGACAAATCATTGAGCATTACCACGTCTTGCCACGTGGTTTCCAGACATTCGGGGGATTACTTGGTCATCAGCCAAGCTGGAGACGACGAATCGCTGAATGTTTATTGGCTCAAAAATTCCTTCAATCAGCTTCCCTTCTCGCACGCATCTACACGAAGAAATCAGAAGGAACTGCAAGTAGAATCACACGTCATGTCATAATGCGACCTCTGCACGTACACATGAACTTCTTTTCAAGCTCTTCTTTTTCGTTCTAGATGGGTAATCCAGAATCGAGCTCAGAACTTTCACGGGCAAAATGGGACAATATAGAGTAGTCTGGTCACCCAATTGGCATTTTCAGTCTAAATCGGATGACGATTGTTGTTTCTTTTGCGTTCCTCGGGCAACAGTGTGAGGCATCAGAACGTCCCGTCTGCACGTTTGGAGGTCTCAGTATCAGATGTGGTAACTATTAGAAATCAGTGGCCCTCTGTGGGCTGGTCCGTTGCCCATGTGTTCGAACCAATGGGCCTGCAGATCAATAATTGGCGTCTAATGAATAAACAGTTAACTGGACTAAAAGTATAAACCTTTGGGCAGTTACGAAAATCGCGCGCAATACGACACAATCCAGTAGAAATATACACCTAGTTCGCGGCTATTTCACACCCTGAAATTAAGCGGCATTAGAATTTTTGTTTCTAGCCTGACCATTTCTGAGTGCGTAGACAGTACCCCCTTGTTCGTACGGTCTAAGCACGGCAGACTCCACGCGGGGTACCTTTGAGCACTGCCTAAGCTGATGTCGGGTTTCCTGACTCAAGAAATACTAAATCGAGCAGTACACACTTCGTATAGAAACCAAAGATTAAACTTTTTTTCGAGAGTATCCGGTACTTGTCGTCAGGAGCTGCTTTCGGGGGGTGAATACCTTCTCGGGGCACCCCCTGTGAGAATTCTGGATAGAAAATTACCCCAGGCTGTGTACTGAACAGCGTACAGAAGGCGAACTGAACGCCACTGAGCTTGGGTTGGGTACAGTTCAGTAGGTAGAAGGTCTGGGAAACTGCGGTGGCAACATCCACCTCAGGCTCCTCGAACAAGGCCAGCTGTTTCGGAACGTGCAAGAGAGGAGGAGGCATCGCAGCGGCGGAGTCCAATAAAGTGCGACCTTGGGATTTGCTGTGTGTGACCCACCTTACATCTGGGAGGTGGTTGGCATCCACTGTGTGATTCGTCCAAAGTGTACTCGACGGGAGATTGTCAGCGGTGTCGTTTCGCTAGACGCCGTAACCATCGACGTAAGAGTAATGCTCCTCTGCGTAACGGACGTTTAGGGTATTCAAAACGCAATTATACCAAACCAGGGGTAAAGTTTCGGGAAGAACTCGTTCCAATTTTACATAACTGGGAACAGGACTGGCTTGCGAAGTTTTCAGAAGAGCTCTAGATACCTTCGGTCTCAATAATGACTCGGCAGCTCAGTCGTTTTCTTGCCCTGATCCCCTTGTACGATATGTCCACCAGGGAGGACTTGATTGCGCACAACCCTGACATGAGGGCGTGTCCGGCGCGTACATTTGATTGCGATTGGGTGAGGTGCCTCACGGATCAGAAGGGTCGATAACGAATCTAAAACGGTTAGGTAGGGTTTTGACCAAAAAAGTACGCAGTGTACATGATTATGGGACCCACTACAATCCCATCAATTCTATAACCGTTCTGGAAAATATGTGTTGTTGGATATTAGGAGTGAGTAGTCATCACTTGATCTACACTTCATCCTTTTCCTGGACCTTGACGAACTCAGCTCGATTTGCTGTGCTGATGTGACACCACACCAGGGCTGATTTTATCAGACTATTTACTCTGATTAGTCTGAAATCTCAGACCGGTTTTTTTGCCAAACCTGAATTTCCATATAAGGCATTTTCTACATCCTGATTGATTCAGACTAAGAGCTTGGGGATCCTGAAAAAATCAGAGTTCACGCTAACCCAGTACTGAGTTTTCATAGTACATCGGGTACAAACCCTGAAACAGATTTCCATGGGGCACGCAAGATCCCCAAAAATTTCGCATGCCATCAGTGCTTCCCGCCCGCGTCACGTACAGAATCCACACTTCGCATAAAATTCCGCCAAGTCCAATGTATACTCTGCCCGCAGTGGGCACTTTGCTATCTAGCGTGGCAAAAATGCTGCCATGCTGAGCCAATAAGGACCGCAGATTCTGCTCTGTTGCTCTCTGTGCATGCGCGAACCTCGGGCCCGTGCCCTTGCAAACCTTTCAAAAAAGGTGCGACACGGGTTTGATGGACCCCTTCTTCTCCAATCGTTCCTTACCCATCAGCTTTGAACGCACTGCTTCAAGTTTTACAGGGGGAATAGTTCCATTTGTTCATTTGTCTAAGACACTGGCGTAGTTGTAGTCGCTTTCTTTAGTTTCTACTTGTCGTTTCTCCTCTCGCCATGCCTGAAAAGGATGGCGCCGATGATGCTCTTGCTGACGGTGATGAGCCGCGCAGCAGTAAGGATCCTGCCGTAGCGCCAAGGAGCGCCCTAGACATCTTGCGGCCCGTTGCCGCATCGGCTCCTCCGCCTTTTGTCGCCACAACCGCTGTTGACAAGACACCGTGCGACGAGCCATCGTTGCCTAGTAGACCTGCCCCCGCTCCCTTCATTCTCCCACCAGCCATACATTTCCAACAAAGGGCCAGTGGATCCTATTCAGTGCGCCACCGCCTCTACCGTTCGTTATAGTGTGCCATGCGCATCTACTGTCTCTTCGGCGAAAAAACAACGCACGACGAAGTATACGCAGCAGCGTAACAACCTTGGTGGCCAGATTCGCCCTCCCTCACCACCGCGCTCACCTCCCCCTGTCACCCGCCCTGATGAACCGCCGCCACCGAAGCTAAGTACAAATGAGTTGATTGAGCAGAAGTACCTAGTCGCTGAAGCTAAGTACAAGAATGATTGGCTGCGTTATTTCCCCTAGCTTGTACTTACCCGTACTAAGGAAGGTACCCCGCCCTTAAGTGCAGTGTTTGCCGAGCCTTCGGCAAAGAAACGACGAAGTATTCAAGGTCAGGTGATGGCGGGCGAGATCTCCAGACACAGACAATGCGCATACATGAACACTCGACAGTCCACGAAGAGGCGGTTCGCCGGCAACTCGAGATTCAGAAGGAGATTGAAGACAAGCAGTAAAAGATGACAAGCTTCGCCACCGTCCATGTTGAAGGCCGCCGCGTCATCCGTATTTTGCAGAGCGTGGAGTTTCTTTGCAAGAACGATGCTCCTATCGCCATGTTTCCCAGGCTGCTTCATTTCATGGCAGAGCAAGACACACCAGACATACCTCTCCAGTCGTACGGTTTGTATCTCACCAGGTAAGGCAACCTTGTTTTCGCCGGTCGATGGTTGGATTTTGGTATCAGCCATGTAAATTTCAATGCATTTGCAATGCTAATTAACAACTGTTTCACTTCTGATTATGCCACTGCAGGTACGGGTTCCAGCAGATTGTGAACTGTCTGTAAACTCATCTGCTAGCTACTCAGATGGAGCACATCAAGAGCTCACCTTACCTCGGCATCTCATGCGACGAGAGCACCGACCGCACGCGGGGAAAGCACCTGATCGTCTACATCACATTCATGCGGCTGCGTCGAGTCATCACTGAATTCCTAGCCCTGCTAGAAGTTCAAAAGTGCGACGCCACTTCTCTCATGGCCACTCTCCTAGTCCACCTGGAGTCGTCCGGCATCGACCTTCAACGCATCGTCGGCATCAGCACAGACGGCGCGTCGGTGATGGTCGGGCGAGACAACGGGCTTGTGGCGCGCCTGCGAGACATCATCCCGCACCTCTTTTCCTCCCACTGCATTGCCCACAGGTTTGTTAAATGATTCCTTGCTGTTTGTTTATGTTTTTTATG